TTCACAGGTTTGGGCTGAACAATTATTGAGTAATCTACCTTTTTCACATAAGGATCGTTTGTTTCCATCAGTGACAGCATAGCCATCTACCTGTATTACACGAGTCTTTTGCCATCTGTTACTCAAGATGATACGTGCACAAATAGCCATATTCCATTATGTAGTGGAGTTTTTTTAAGGTCTGATTCAACTTTAGTTTGATATTCTATGATATCTAAACAGTTATAGTCTGATGCCTTCTTATTCTCCTCTCCTTACCATAAGAAACTAGCTGGAGTTAGGTTAGGCACTTCCCCAGAGCCCATTGACCCCAGGAGGAACTTGGGGAAGCATGGGACTGCCCAGCTGGCCCCACAGGGTGCCGTTGGCCAGGCCCTGCTGGGTCTGGCGCTGGGCCAAGAGCTGCCGGTTTGAAGAGCTGCCAGCCTGTGGCGCCTTTCCTGAGGGGCACTTTCATTAGCACAGGCATCCCTGGCTCTGCCCTTACTTCCTCTTTGTTCGCTTTGAAGACACCATTCCTCTCCTTGGCAGGCCGGGAGCTCCACCATTTGTATTCCTTGCCACCCCTGCTGGTGATCCAGCAACTGCAAAGGGTCTTTGGTTTCCTTTACTCTGGGAGGGGACTTAGTGACTTTTCCTCCTCCTCTGCTGCAAGGATCTTCCCCAGCCCAGCAACGCTCTGGGAAACAGAGCTTTAATGCATCCCACTTCAAAGGTTCTTGGCAGACTTCTCCCCAGCACGAGTTCTACTTCAGGGATTGTAAACTGGCATCCTCTTTTGTTTGTATTGAGTTTTTAAGTTTTTCTACTGATTACCAGCACTTAAAAATCCCGTTTTACATAAAAAGTTAGAATTCTGGCCTCTGACAAAGCAGACAATTTGGCAAAACAGGGTCGGCACTGTAAAAACAGCTGAGCAGCTATGGCCCCTTTAACAGAGTGCACCTTCCTCAGTTAGCCACAGTCCCCACCCAGCCCTGCAGCCCTCCTTCTCATCATTTGCTGGCCCTGTAGTTATTTGAGTTTACAACCCTAGTTTTGATCTTTCTTATGTTGCCCCCCAGCCCTTCTTAAGCCTTACTGACAGCTGACCCTGGTGGACTTATAGCCTCTCAGTAAAACAACAACAAAACCTTAATGGTCATTTCATCCATTTACCCTTCCATAACCTGAATCCTTTCTACTGCCTTCTGACAGCCAGCCAGCTAGTCTTTCCTCCTGCTCCTGAACTCTCCTCCACATCCCTTTCTCACTTGCATCACCCAGTTCCTGGGCTTTTTCCCTCCGCAGTGTCCACACTGTACCCTTTCCCTGTACCTCCTTGTTGCTTGAGCCTCTAGAACCTTCCCCGAGCCCTAGCAACCTCTCCACATCCTCTGATTTCCTCTTGTACTCTTTTTTTTTTTTTTTTTTTTTTTTTTTTTTGAGACAGAGTCACACTGTCGCCCAGGCTGGAGTGCAATGATGCGATCTCAGCTCACTGCAACCTCCGCCTCCAGGATTCACGCAATTCTCCTGCCTCAGCCTCCTGAGTAAGTGGGATTATAGGTGCAGACCACCACACCTGGCTAATATTTTAAATATTTTTAGTAGAGATGGGGTTTCACTATGTTGGCCAGATTGGTCTTGAACTCCTGACCTCCTGATCTGCCTGCCTTGGCCTCCCAAAGAACCGGGATTACAGGTGTGAGCCATTGTGCCTGGCCTCCTCTTCTATTCTTTCTTCCTTTTACATTATTTCTCTCCCCAGTCTTATCTTTTGTATCTCTCTTTGATCTTTGTCTTTTCGTCTCTCTCTCGCTCATTTTCTTCTGTCTCTCTCTGTCTGACATCCCCTATTTCCTTTTTCCCTCACACTCAGTTTTTTTCTTTTTCTCTGCATGAGCTGACCTGTCCAGTGCTCTGGCTCCTCCACGTCTGACAGACAGCTGCGACTCTTTCTCTGGGCACCACCATGCCTGCACAGTGTCTTACACTGCCTGCCCTGTCTCAGCTGCTTAGTCCAGCAGCTCCCACACACACAGCTGTGCCCTGGGCTTTCCCTTGCCTTCAGGGTCAGCAGCTTAACTCTTTCTCTCTCTGGCCCTCTGCGTTTGCCATTTCCTCCCCTTTCTCTTTCCAATCTCCTGTCTTTTTCTCTTTATCCTTTTCTTCTTACAAAAACCTTCTGAGCTTCCCTTAGTGATTCCTTAATTGGTTTTTCATTTCATCCACTAATCTTTTGCAGTTTCTTAGTAATATCAGGCAAGCTTTTAGTCACAAAATTAATCTTTAAAAGGCCTTTCCCTACTGGGTCCTCTGGATTTAATGCTGAATATTTTCTCATTTGATCCCTGAGCTTCTGCAGGAACACAGAGGGAGTCTCTTTTGTTGTTGTTGATGTTGTTGAATCTCAAATGCTTTCGAGACATTTTGTGTCCTAGGAGTGGACTTTTTAATCCCTTTAATGATTAGTTTCCGTAGGTTCTGCATTTGGGCCCAATCTCTGCGGTTATTGTTATCCCATCTGGGATTTGCATTTGGGAATTTTTGCTCAGTTGGCAGGAATTCTTGCCTGGGAGGATGCTGTCTTTCCCAAATGGTTATGGCTGCCCTTCTAATTCTCCTCTCTTCCCCAGTGAACAGAATGTTCATGATTGACATCATCTCAGCTTAAGTATAAAAATTGGGTCCTGAAAATTGATCTAGCTACTCTGCTAAACCAAGGGGATCTTCCAAGAGTGGCCTCATTTCCTTTTTAAATTCCTAACCTCAGTGCTTATTAGAGGTGCACTCACAAACCCAACTCCTCCCTGTCCCATAGAGACTTCTCTAAGAGAGTACATATTAGACTCCTGCTGTTTAGAAGAAATAGGGAAATTTTTAATGTCCTTTTTACTTTGCTCTAATTCTTTCCTCAAGTTTGGATAAGGAATTAAGGGAGCATTGGGCTTAGCTTCTTCGTGACCCCCAGATTCCTCTTTCTCCGACCTTCCCATTGCCTCCTGATCTCACCCTGTCCTCTGCTCTGTGAGATGTGGCAGGAGGGCAGTGTATTAGGGGATCTCAGCGCTTTTCACTGGGCAAGGGCCCTTTCCTGTGTTAACATGGGGTTAATTCACTAATGAAACAAAGAACATAATCCATGTCCTCTTGTGAGGTTGGGGTTTTATCATTCACATAGAGAGTTAAAGCTTGGCACATCCAATCCTTATCTGAGCTAAACTTAGGCCAGAAGTCCGAAGGCTCACAAATGGGCTTTTTGGGCCAAGTAAAACAATACTTTATCATCTTTTGCTTTTCCTTTTCCCTGGTTTGAGGATTATCCCTTCAAACTATCTGGGAGAATGTCAGAGGGGATCTTTTTAGTTGCCTCTTTTCTTTGTTCCCAAGGCCTAGAGTTCCTGTTGCCCATCTTTGGTTAGTCTCTGTGCCTGAGGTTTTCCCTGTGTACTCAGCCCTCCTTGCTGGAAGTTTCTTGCATACCCTGAGACCACTGAAAAGGCCCAACCACCAAGGCAGTACTTATAGACCAGTTTTCCTACCTTGGCTCGTGCATGATGTTGCTTGGTTGCCATGGTGCCTGCTTTTCTCCCTGTGTCCCCTCTACTGCCTCCTGAATAACAGTCTCAGGTTTGTCTGTGGCTGCTTCTTGGAGTCAAAACATCCAGACAGAGCAGGCCACATAACTCAAGTGGGACGCGTCTCCCTTGTCTGCTGGAGTCTCACTCCATGCAGGCACAGAGATCCGCATATAGGCCACCAAGTTGTGAGAAACAGCTCACGCGTCCAAACCCACAGAATGGACTCATGAGACCTGAATAATAGCGAAAGTAAGATTTTTAATGACAGTCTTGCAAGATGGGGTGTCTGGTGTGTAGGCACACCCAGCACAGTAGGTTGGTTGTTTGTTTTTGAGACGGAGTTTCATTCTTGTTGCCCAGGCTGGAGTGCAATGGCGTGATCTCGGCTCACCACAACCTTTGCCTCCCGGGTTCAAGCGATTCCCCTGCCTCAGCCTCCTGAGTAGCTGTGATTACAGGCATGCACCACCACACCCGGCTAATTTTGTATGTTTAGTAGAGACGGGGTTTCTCCATGTTGGTCAGGCTGGTCCTGAACTCCCGACCTCAGGTGATCCACCTGCCTTGGCCTCACAAAGTGCTGGGATTACAGGCATGAGCCACCGCATCTGGCCCCACCACAGTTTTAACAAATAATTTATCCCTTAGTGCGTAGGTCCCTCCCCTGGTTCCTTATAGGCTGAGTACTATGGAGTTACAATCTTCCCAGACATCACCTATTGATTGTTAGGCAGGGCTATAGGTGTTTCTTTTAGGATTGTCTTGCTGCATTTTGTTGCGGCCCACGATGGCATTGCAATCCTAGTTAGCTCAGGGACTCTTCAAGTATTTGACTTATGACCTAAGTAGCTGGGCAGGCTGATAAGAACAGACAAAGTGAGCTATTTTGCAGACTAGTAAACTTTTATCTTAGGCTAAACTTCTTTGGTTCAGGTGAGAGCAACTAAGTGGGGTGAAGGGGGAGGAAGTGGGGGGCTAACAAGCAGGCATTGGCTATCCAAGCAGGGGCCTAGTATGTCTTGTTTCTTCTGTAGTTTACTGACCTCAACCAATTCAAGGTACTCTTGAAAATGGACCACTGTATACGTTATCGCCTTCACTCCATGAATATGATTGGTGTGTAAGGCGTGTATTAATTTTATTTGAGTGTAATTGCTGTTAGCTGGTTGGGATAATAATTTATGCTAGACAAACTACAAATATGGATTTATTACTTTAGTCACAGGTACAGAATTTATTCCATTTGTAGAATGATGTTTTGTTTTTGTAGATGAGAAAACTTTTGTTCAGTGCTTTGGCAGAATTAAGCTAGGGTATAATCTTTTATGAGATTTTGGCATATTTTAATACTATTTACATAGACACTCAGCTCATTTGTTATATGGACAATAAAGGAACTATTGGACTAACAGTAGTAAATTTTTTTTCCCCCAAAAGGTAATTAATAAAATGTCTCCAACATCTCTAAAGATCACACTAAGGCAACTCATCGAGGGGTCTTCAAAGACCTTGCAAGAAGTACTAACTATGGAGTATCGGCTGAGTCAAGCTTGTATGGTAAGAATTAAATTAAAAAATTATCGTCATTTTTTAGTTCTGAAAGTAACATATGTTTATGGTAGAACTTGTAAAATATACCAAGTGCAAACAGGAAAACTAAATTCACATGTAAATTTGCTCTACAAAAATACAACAGGCCAGTTAGCTTTAGAGGTATGGAAGTATTGCTATCCAGATTGTTATTAAGCCTTTACAAAATAGGAATTACATTTGCATGTTAGTGTAAGAAGCTTGCTAACCTCAGAAAAATTCAGAATAGAAATTCATGTCTTTCAGAGATGGTCTCTGTGGCCTTGGGCAAGACATGTAAACTCTGTAAATGTGAATTCTCTCATTGGTAAAATGAAGGGGATTATTTGTAAGCATTTATATATAAAGTAAATGCACAAATGGAGGTTATTAGTCTGTTACATGTTTTAAATAATGAGCATTACGAAAGTACCATTGTAACATAAAGTGGACAACAATCAAATGGAATATTGATTTCATGAAACATTTCATATTTATATTTATTCTTTCAGATGATAAACTCTTTTAAGACAGAATCATTCTTTATGTTCAGAGGGCCCTTAAGAGGCATCTTATTATTTAGACTAATATATGGACTAAAGGGAATATTTGGCTTAATAGCCAGAAAGCAGACATTCCTAATGACTTTAATGTAATAGTTATTAAGATGTTTGGCCAGGTGTGGTGGCGTACGCCTGTAATCCCAGCACTTTGGGAGGCCGAGGCTGGTGGATCAGAAGGTCAAGAGATCCAGACTATCCTGGCCAACATGGTGAAACCCTGTCTCTACTAAAAATACAAAAAAATCAGCTGGGTGTGGTGGCACGCGCCTGTAGTCCCAGCTACGCACAAGGCTGAGGCAGGAGAATCGCTCCAACCTGGGAGGCGGAGGTTCCAGTGGGCTGAGATCGCACCACTGTACTCCAGCCTGGTGATAGAGAGACTGCGTCTAAAAAAAAAGATGTTCAAAAGATGTTCAAAGTAGTTCATCTAGTTAGAAATAACTCTATTAGCCATGTCTTAAAGTCACTTCTTGTGGGATATAAATGGTAGCCGATGTCTATTGTTTAATATGTGCAGGTACTACACTAGGCACTTTATATGCATTCTCTCTGTTAAATCTTATGGTATCTCTACGAGGATAGGTACTGTGTGGCATAATGACGTAACCTGCCTTAGGTTGTCCCACTATTAAGTGCAGAGATATGGCATATGAAACCAGGCAGTCTTACTCTGGTGCCTACACTCTTGACCACTGTCCTGTATACTTCACACATTCCATGTTTTTCATTGAACTTTTAGAACATTGCCTAGATTGATTGATTCCTGCCTTCATTCTCTCAGCAAATATGTTAGCTATGTGCCAGGCACTATGCTCAGTGTTAGGCTTAGGCTGTTGAATAAGAAGACATGGTCCTTTATTTTCATGGAGTTTAGTCTACTGAGACTATAAAGAACAAGTAAACAAAATAAGTGAAATAATTATAAATTGTACTAAGTATGCTAAAAGAAAACATACAGGGTTGGTGATAGAAGAGATTGATGCAGGGACAGGAGGGAGTTGGGGGGCAGTGGGACACATGCTTTAAGTAAGTAGGTCAGGGAAGACATCTTTGTGATGTCACTTCATTGTGACCTGAAGAATGAGAAAGGAGTATGTTGAGAAGTCTCTTGGGCTTAAGCAGGGGGTGATTTGATTTTTCATTTGATTTGATTCACTTTGCTTTAAGAAGGAAATTATTGTTGCTAAGTAGGCTCAGGGTTTGAGGGGTTCAAGAACGGTTTAGAGACCAGATATAAATGTCCTGCACTGATGCAGGTGTGAAATAGCAGTGCTTAGACAAGCATGGTGGCAATGAAGAGAAGTAAATGCATTTGAGACACATGTGGGAGATAGAATTGATAGGACTTGATGAATGTGAGGGAAGGAATGCATTTAGGAGTTAGAGCTTAGAGGATCAGAGATTCAAATGTGACAGACACCAACAGCAACTGAAAAGACCTTGAAGATGCATTATTTGCTAAGCAAGAGTGCTTACTATGTGGTAGGCACTGTTAGAGGTACCCAGGTGCATAGGTTCCACGTACCTAGGTATGCTCCAGGGATAGAGGTTGAAAAGGCAGAAAACAGTTTAAATCATTATCTTGGGGAATGGAGTAGGATAACAGACAAAATCCCTGCCTTGATGGAACTTAGTTATAATGGGGAAATAGACTGTAAATTAGATTAATACATAAAATATAATATGGTTATTAAGGAGAAAAAATAAAGGAAGCAGAATATGTGATATAGGGTAACAGGGGGATGAATTATAGGTAAGGTGACCAGATCAGCCCTCACTGAGATGTTATTTGAGGGAATTCCTGAAAGAAATGAGGAAGTGAGCCATACAATTATCTGAGGAAGAGCATCCCAGGCAGAGGGAACTGCAAGAACAAAGCTCTGATGCAGGAGCATGAGGCTGTGTGGAGGGGGATGGGGGGTAGCGGTGGTGGTGAGTGAGAGATAAGGCCAGAGGGAACAGTGTAGAGAAAGGCTGTGCAGAACATACAGAGCCTTGATGGTCTCTATAATGACTTTGGCCGAGTAAAATGGGAAGCCACTAGATGATTATGAGCAGAGGAATGACACGATCTTATACTTTAAAGAACTGATTACTCAGGCTGCTATGTTGAGCACTGAATGGATAAGATCACATAGAAAGAAAATGAGAGTCCGGACCTGAGCCCTAAGGAACACTGACATTTTGAGGTGTGGTAGAGAAAAAGCAGTGGGAAGGAAAAAGAGATGGAGAGGCAGGAGGACCAGAAGAGTGTGGTGTCACGAAAGAGTGGAACGTTTGAGGGAGGAGGGTGTAATGGACAGTGTCGAACACTGCCAAAGTGTAGATGAGGTTAGAAGTGTCATTTGACGTTGGCGTTGCTGACATCATGGGTGGTTTTGGCAAGCCATTTTAGAGGAGTGGGGGCAGAAGTTAGAGTGCAGTAAGTTGGAGAGGAAAAATGGGATGTGAAGAAGTGGAGAGAATATGTGTAGACAAATATTCTTGAAAGACAAATAGGATAGAAGCTGAGACTGTGGAATCAAGTGAGTTTCCTTTTTATTTTGTAAAATGAAAGGTACTAGAACATGTTTAAAAATGATTGGGAATGATCCAATAGAGAAAAAAGATTATGTTGATGATACGAATGGTAGTTAACATTTACTGAACTCTTAGTGTCAGACACTGTGTTTGGATATAGATTAAAATAATCCTAGGATGGATGTATAGATTACCTTTTCATGTAAGGAAATTAGGAGTTGGAGAAATTACTAGTCCAAGGTCACAAAGTTAATATGTAGTCGAATCAGGATGTGAACCTAGACGTAAATGAACTGCATGCATTTAGCCACTCAATTATATTGCCTACATTGATGATTCTAGAAAAAGAAAAGTGAGTGACCACATCAAGCAAAGTCTATCCTTGAGAAGGCAAGAGGGGATGTGAATTGGAATGCAAGGGAGGACTGGCTTTTGAAAAGGGGATGGTCCTTTCCTCCATGGCATTGGAAGGGAAGGTATATGCAGATAGCCGCAGTTGCCTGCAGACGTTTTAGTGCTCTCGGATGACAAGATTTCCCATCTAAGGGCTTCTTGTTTTTTTATAGAAGTCAGAGGTTAAGTAATTGGCTGAGACTTAATTAGAGTGCGCGCTACGGGTAGAGGTTGAGAAGGCAGAAAACACTTTAAATCATTATCTTGGGGAGTAGGGAAGAGATCTTGGATTGTTCGGCAGTTTTCTGTGCCCATTTGAGATTTTTGATCATGAATTTTAAATGAAAGCAGTCACGGTTGTACAATTTTCTGCAGCAAGACGTAGCTGCTGAAGTACAGGCAAGGGGTACATCGTGGGGTTTAGTTGGTGCCAAGATTTTGCTAGGTTTCTATAAAAGAGAAAAAGACGTGAGGGAGATGACAGCATTTTGAAAGGAAAGTGATCATTTTAAAGGACTGGTAAAATTGGGCTGCATGAAGAGCAAAGTGATGCCAGCGCAGATAGGGAGAAAGTCATAGGATCGGGGACCTCAGTAAGATCAAGGATTTGTAGCAGTGGAGATACTGGAGCAAATAAGATTAGGAGGTAGCGATCAGAGAGTGTACTGTCAGATGTGGTTCAGTCCCTAAACATCATGGTTCAGATTGTGGCCATGGGAGTGGAAGGCTGAAGTGAATAGAGGAGAGAGAAGATCGCCCAGAATAATGACACCCAAAAATTATCCCCATTTAATTTCAATTTTCTTTCAGAGAGGTCATGACTTTCATGAAGGCGTCAGAGCTGGTAAGTAGCAAATGGGAACTTACCATTTTGGGGAAATGAGATTTGTGATCATATGCTGTTAATTAAATAAGATACAGATTGTGTACCCCAAATCCTAAAATCCAAAATGTACCAAAATCTGAAACTTTTTGAGCACCAGCATGACTCTCAGAGGAATTGTTCATTGGATTGTAAGTATAATGCAAATATTCCAAAATCTGAAAAAAAAAAAAAAAAAAAATCTCAAACCTGAAACACTTGTGATCCCAAGCATTTCAGATACAGAATACTCAACCCAAAGTTGTTTTAGTAGTGAAAATTAAACTTTTGTAAAGATTGTAAAATTGTGTATGTTTTTAAAAAATATTACCATCTGGGATGTGAAAAGGAAGATCAGTCTTGAAACTGATATTGTTTTAAAAATAGACATAACTTGGCAACTGCTCTCTAATTTATATATAAGGTAATCCTGTACCTATACTCATGTACTACCTCTGATAAGTGCATCACTAAGTTTGTAAACTCATCCTGCTGCTGTGGACTTTAAAACATGCATTTATTCCCTTACAAAAAGCCCTCAAGTCCCCTGCCTTTCTCCCTCTTTTGTACTGGCCTGGCAAAATTGACCAGTGATCTAACCCTACTTTCCATCTTCTTGCCTGTACTTGAGCAGTTAAACATTGCTGGGGAAAAAGACCATATGACATTATTGGTAACATCTGCAGATTTTCTTATTAATACTCTCTATTTTTGCTTACAATCTCCAGTGCCAGCATATTTAGAAAAAGCAAGTGAAATACTTGACTTTTTTTTTCTAGCAAACTTGGAACAATTTGTTTTTATGTGTAACTCTTATCCCTATAAAAAGCTGTTATTTATGTGGTATAAAATGAATTGTTCCCTCCGCATGTTTTTGCATATCTAATGTTCCTGTTTTTATTAATTATTTTACTGTAGTGCAGATTCTGGATATACTTTTTTTTTTTTTTTTTTTTAGACAGGCTGGAGTGCAGTGGTGCAATCTCGGCCCTCTCAGGTTCAAGTGATTCTCCTGCCTCAGCCTCCTGAGTAGCTGGGACTACAGGTGCATGCCACCAGGCCTGCCTAATTTTTCTATTTTTAGTAGAAACAGGGTTTCACCATGTTGGCCAGGCTGGTCTCAAACTCCTGATGTCATGTGATCCACCTTCCTCAGTCTCCCAAAGTGCTGTGATTACAGACTTGAGCCACTGTGCCCAGCTTGGATATACTTTTTTTTATCTGAATAAAAGGTTATTATGCTCTCTAAGCTCTTAAGCTTTGATAAACACCAGTCACTCTTAGAGAGTTCTCTTCATTTCTGACATGACACAATATCAAAAATAAGAACTTGATTGAAATATTTTTAGGAATCAGCACATGGAGTTGATCAGAAGAGATGGCTGTGTATCTTGTAGAAACTAAGTAAAATAGGCATTTTCCTCACTAATTTCTCTGCAAATTCTTGCTGCATATGGATTACAGCCCAGACCTCTAATTTTAGAGGACCTGTATGCTACTTAGGTTATATTGCTAAAGTATTCATTATATGTTGTAACAGGCCTTCCTTAAAACAAAAGATATTGTTTTTAGATAAATACTGTTATTTTGAGGGAAAAATGTTGAAACTAAGTAGTATCAAAGTTCTTATTCATAAAGGAATTGCTTACTTATCCTGATATGTTTTAATGAAGAGAAAGTATATTGCCGCCTCTTTCAGTATAGACTTATTCAGAAAGCAGTATCTGTTCTGAGTAAAACTATAGTGTTCTTGAGTAATCAAATGTTTGCTGCATTTTGCTAATAATAAAAACATATTAGCAAATTAAAGTAAGATAGCAAATTTAACAGTTGTTAAAAATTCTTACTGTTTACATCTAGAACAAATTACTACTTTCTGGTTCTAGAAGAAAAAAAAGACTTAGTAGGGCTGGATACCCACTCAAATTCCATGTAGTGGTTATCTCAGGAGACTTGAAAAACCTGAGCTGCCTACATGGCAAGAACTTATGTTATATATATTATAGTAAAAAAAAAAAGTTAGCTTGAAATAAAATAACAAATTTGTTTAATATTCTCTTTCCTCTTGTCCTTCAGTGGGATCTCAAGGAGATAGTATTGACTGGAAAACTTACAGAAGAGATTCTTGTGGAGAGAATGTGCTAGAGTTATTCTTCGTATACACTGTCCATTGAATATAAAACTTTCACATAGTAGGGATCAGAACATCAGTGTTTAATATTGCCACTGATTTGATACAAGAATCTCATAGTAGGGAGTTAAATCTTAAAAACAAAACCTCCAGTATCTGCATTTTATTGTATGTAAAAGCTTCCTTCCCCCTACCTACCAAGGCAGCCTTGGTCCTTGGTTTCCATACTGCTGCTTTAACTATTTTAGTCTTTAAATGCTTAAAAAAAAAAAAAAAGCTAAATTCGGGTTTTCTAGTTCACTCTAGTTTGCACATTTAAACATTTCCATTCTTTACAAGAATTATGTGCATTTTAAGCATGGTTGAAATTTGCTGCCTCAACCATAACTTAAAAGAAAAAAAATTGAGATCATTGTAGATTCACATGAGGTTGTAAGAAATAATAAAGAGATCTTGCATACCTTCCACCCAGTCTCCTAAATGATACCATTTGTATACCTACAGTATACTGGATATTCTTCTCCCCCTTTTTAGGAGAAGTTACAGATTGCCTCATAATCCTGTGGGGATACTATGTGGCTATAGTAAGTGATGACTACACTGAAATAGGAGAATTCGTTTCATGATAACCTGATTTTTTTTTAAATCCAGAGCTGTCCAACTGTCCAAACTGGAGGATTCAGCAGAACAACAATTACACATTTAATTATGCATGAAGTCCCCTTTTCTCTACCTTAAGCATTAATTTCCTCCCAAAATTCAATGTGGTGGAGGTTAGAAGGCACATCTAGCCCCTCTGCCCTCCCCTGCCTTTGCTTCAAATTAAACACTGATTTTAGCTGTTTTGTAATGTGGAGGTTTCATTTGCAATTTTATTTCAAGAAGAAAAAAAGAATTCTAATGTTTAAACCAAAACTGGATTAATTGAGTAGGCTTTATTAAAGCTAGAGACATGCAGCTTAGGAAGTTAGAAAATATCCACACCAATCATCAAAAGTATATTGCTATCCATCCCTGGGGATTTAATTAGAAAAACAGAGCACATGTAAAAACTTGGAGGGAAAAAATGTGTTATAGAAAGATGTGCCTAGTATAAGATAGTTACTGTTAATTCAGTAATTAAAATCTGGTAATACCAGAAAAAAAGGCACTAACATTTGTATCTTCTCTTGACAGTTTTAATTGATAAAGACCAGAGTCCAAAATGGAAACCAGCTGATCTGAAAGAAGTTACTGATGAATATTTGAATAATTACTTTAAGTCTTTGGGAAGCAATGATTTGAAATTTTGAGGTGACAGGCTTTTAAGGTATATTTTGTAGCATGGGTTGGCAATCTCCAGCACATGAGCCAAATCCAGCCTGCTACCTGTTTTTATATACCCTTCAAGCTAAGAATGGTTTCTGCATTTTTAAATGGTTGGAAAAGAAAGACTAATGTTTCATGACGTGGAAATTATATGAAATATCACAGTTCACAAATAAAGCTTTATTGGAACTAGCTATACTTATCTGTTTATATATTTTCTGTGGCTGCTTTGAAATGAGTAGTTGCAAGAGAGATGGTAAGGCCCACAAAGCCTAATTATTTACTGTCTGGATTTTGTCAGAAAAAGTTTGCCACTCCGTTTTAGAAGATGGAAAAATGAAGGTTTTTAGATACTTTGTTGAGTAGCATATCTAATTGAAATGGGATCTTTATTTTGCTTTTGGTAGTGGCTTCTATCTGGGTTAAATCAACTTAGGTATAGAATATAAAAAACCCTGAAAATTGTTTTGGATACTGTGTTAATACCTCAGAATTTTCTCCATATATGAGTGTGTTTTAAAGTAACAGTTACTGTAGCAGAAGAGCTCCTTTTATAAACATTAGAAATCTTGGGCAAAGAGAAAAGATTTTTATGAAGTTCTCTCTTCAGTATTACTCAGGCTTGGTCTTCCATAAAATAGTCAGTACCATACCATGGTGAAAGTGAAAGCTTATTTTCTTGTGATTCGCAGTATTCGTTAATCCAGTAGAATGAGAAATTAGGAAACTACAATTTCCTAGATAGAGACATTCTTTTTTATAATTTACCTAAGACTTTTGTGTGATAATTATCCTTATAAACAAGGTTCAAATCAGGAGGAAAAATATGGAAAGCAAGACGACTTTTGTTCAAAAGATATATTCAATAATTGATATTGTTAATAAGTACTTTTTAAGGTATGACAGAACTAAAAGGTATTCCAGACTCAGAACCTTAAAGTTCTAGGCAAGAATAATTTTTAAACTAAAGGTAAGTTTATAACTTATTTTGTAACTTGTTTTAGTTTCTCCTTCATCCCATACTCTTTAGAAACTAGGAGAACTTCAGGTTTGTAAGAACAAAAAGCCAGCAGAACTGAAAAAGACATTAAAGATCATGTCCTGCACCTTCTCATAGATGAAGAAATGGCAGCCCAGAAGGTACTGCTTTGTTTTTTCAATTCTTAATCTGTTTCACGTGAAGCATTTTTCTTTCAAATAATTGCATAACAAATCTAGAATGTAGATGCCATGACAGGCTGGACATGGTGGCTCACGCCTATAATCCCAGCACTTTGGGAGTCCGAAGTGGGTGGATCACAAGGTTAGGAGTTCCAGACCAGCCTGGCTAACATGGTGAACCCTTGTCTCTACTAAAAATACAAAAATTAGCTGGGTGTGATGGTGGGTGCCTATAATCCCAGCAACTCAGGAGGCTGTAGCAGGAGGATTGTTTGAACACGGGAGGTGGAGGTTGCAGTGAGCCAAGATCGTACCATTCCACTCCAGCCTGGGTGATAGAGTGAGACACCATCTAAAAAAAAAAAAAAAAAAAAGCCATGATATTAGATACATTTACATTTATATTCTAAAAGTTCCTAAATTGGACCTGAATGAACCAAGAAATTATTTGTATAAGTGGATTTTTATTCTCTATATTTGTTAACAATGCAGAAATTGTTGTCTTTTATATTGTTTAAAAAAATTGAAAGTACACAATGTCAGAAGGGATTTGCTTCAGTTAAATAAGAACTCACAGCTGGTTACTTGCAACTGGACTTTTATTGTGCAGTTACAACAAATGTTTTCAGAAAAATATTTGGAAAAATATACCACTTCATAGCTAAGTCTTACAGAGAAGAAGATTGCAAATAAAACTCGAGTTTAGAAAATTAAGATTCAGGTAGTGCTTCTGAGCTAATGCCCACAGCTCCAAAAAAGATATGTCCTATTTGGTCATTCAAATCCAGGATAAGGACATTGTGATGACTCAAACAATGTATTTTTTAGAACTTTGGTTTTAAATTACTGTTCCTTGATATTACTTATAAAGTGTCTCTGACTTTTGATTTTTAAAACTATATAATTTCCTCATTTCATAAAAGGCCAATGATATTGAGTCGGATAAATATCATGCTACTTCATTCAGTGTGTCTGTTTTTAATACTAATAAGGCAGTTTGACAAATTATTTCTTTGGGACTAAGATAATCACTTTTGTCCCCTTCAAAATTGTGTTTTAAGTGCTAATAACCACTGGCAGATTGCAAAGAACTGATAAGGCAACAAAAGTAGAGAATTTTAGGATCAAAGGCATGTAACTGAAAGGTGACAATAGTACATAAGAAACAACTGGGGAAGGCAGCAGTGAAGCATATTTGTGGGGTAGAGTCTTTGTAAACAAGGAATTTGCACGTTTATTTTCTCTGATAACCTGCTTCCACAGTTGCCACCTGGAGGTTCTTGGTTGTGCTGGTAAAAGCTCATTTGCCCTTACACTGGATGTTGCAAAGGTTTCCCTCTCCAGGAGCTAGTAAGTCTTTCAGTTATCCGTTTTATATGTCTCCTGGCTTCTCAGGCAGTCCTTCCATTCTCTTTTATTGTTCATGAAAGACCTTCAAATTGAAGTAAAGCCAGTATTTCAATATAAAGATCTGAAAGAAGGCTAATATCCTATCAATGATACTCTCATCTGTCTTGTCATGAAGGCCAACCTATATCATGATAATTATCACATGTAATGTAAATTTGTTTGTTCATCTCTCTCATTCATTTAGTCGTCTTTTTTATTCATTTGTTTATTCATCTCTTTCTCTCCCATCTTGATTTATCCACTAACTCACTGATTATGCAAGATTTGTAGTTCATGTATGTCATGGGATGATGTATAATACAGCATGTATTTCAAAGATAAGTCTTTTGGAAATATTGTACACAAGATAGCATACTCTATTAAAATGTGAATCAGGAACAAGGGAATGGTGCTTGGTGATAAAACTATACTATCATAGTTGCTGAGAGAGGGCAGGAACAGAGATTAGACTTCCAGCTGATATGGATCCGGCAGGTATCCCTGTTACTCCCTGGGGAAATAGGGGTCCAGGGCAGAGAAGAAACCTGAAATTAAAAAGCTTAGATACAGGCAAAACTCACTCGTCTCTGTCCCTGTGTATACTAAAAAATTTAGTGGGACATGCTGCTTTATGTGGCTTTGTGTTTTCTTATTAGTACTTATTTTATATTCCTAATTGTACATTTTAAGCAGCAAATGACCTTGCAGCAAAAGTGTCTTGGTGTGAGATACAAAATGAATGAAAAACAACCACACCTATGCTTTTGTCACTCAACCTAAACTACTCTTCATGACCTGGAAATGTTTTATACTAATGGGAAACTTTCTGTCCTTAGCCTTATAACTTCAGATCCTTGTATGAATGGGTTTGGTGGTTTTTCTATTATATAAATTATAGATTGCAAGTACAGTGGGACAGTACAAATCGTGGAAATTGGTAAAATTAAAGTTGGATGATGAAGTGTCCAAAGGCAACTGAAATATGGCATGTTTCAAATAATGTTTTCCTTGCTCATGTAACTTGGAGAATTCACTCTATTTGATTTTGGGTTTCAAAGCATTAGTGTTAAAATTAGAGGTAGATTTTCTGCCTGCTTACAAGGCAAATACATATTTATCTTATTAAAGAGGTTATAAGCTTTTTTTTTTTAAGCTTTAGTTTTTAATACCAATGGTGTATTGTGGCTCTAACATACACAGGCTTAAATAATTTCCTTTTCATTTAAACTCACTGTGTACCAAATCTTATGAAAAGATAATTCTAGAAACTGTCTTAATTTTCCAACAAGTTGTCTTAATTTCATTTTCCCCTTTCCAAATTTTCTGTTACCACTGACCTTTTGTTTTAAAGTACTCCTTTAAAACAAAAAAGGGTGTGTTTATGTGCTGTGACAGTAAAAATGAAAAAGAACAAGTTTCCCTAATAGGTGGCTATAAATGTCCTATAGGCTTGTGTTACCACTAAAAAATAACAAAAACCCAGAAAATGAGTACTCTCCTCAAAGGACAGTTTTATCTTTTCTGTTTTGCAATATAACTGTAAATCTTCATGCATTACTTACCTGGTCTCACAGTAATTTTAATGGTGACTGCCCCACTAGTCAATAAAATACTGGGGATAAATGCCCATATTCCAGCCCTTTGCACCTCCCAGACAGTAAAGCTTAATACACAATACTGAAAATTTCTACCTTGCAGAGTAGGCTTCTGTTATTTTTAAGATTTACTGGATTGCTGTTTATAAAAGGTACCCATGCTAGTCTTCTTGTATAGTTATATCACTGGCTTCTTAATTCAATGCAATAAACACTAATGTCATGGCTTCTATAAACTGCTATCGTTAAGAGGCATTAGGCACAAAGTCTAAGTTGTCCAGTAGCAGCTGTAATTATTTAGGGCCCTGAGGTCCAAGGTGGTAGTTACACTTCTCATCTACAAAAATAAATATCTTATTAAAGACAGGGTTCATTTGTGTCAAGAAGTAGAGATCCTTGATGCATGATTTTGACTAACAAGACTTACTGTTAATCACTGTGAATTGAGTGCCATTCCCTTGCCAAGGAATTTTAGAAAAGCCCTTTACATATCTGGACTTTTTTGGGTATAAATTAGCGAAAATTGTTATTTTAAAGGACAACTTTTAAAATAACCATTTAGAATTTGGGGCAGTTTTTATTCCTTAGCATTTTCTTTGGTGATGCCATTACTTAGAAAGAAGTGCTATGAGATACAGCTCATTATTGGGTATCACAGGACCTCTGTTTAGCCCTTCAGATGACTAAAATCTAAGACTAAACAGAAATTGCTGTTAATGTAGAAGTTCTTCAAATGCATTTCATCCTAGGTATTCTAACACTAGTGACATTATCATAGACGCGTTTTGAAATCCAGATAGTTATTTGTACTTTTGCACACCAGGTTTTGCTTTTGTTGCATGTATTCAAACTACCACCTCCACGGTCAAAGTGTTGTCATCCTACAGCCTCAAGGCTCCTCACTCTCAATGTATGGAATGTCATGGTACTTGAGGTTATTGCATGCCCACTGCTGCAAGGCATCACACAAGATATCCTGGGACAGGTGGTGTGCATATTCCAAGATCACAGTATTGATCCCTGGGGGTTCCTTCACTTCCTCTTTGACATTAACTGGAGAAGGCATCCTAGGTTGACATTTCTCTTCTGGCATAAAGGGTTCTTCACTCTCATGCTGCTTCTCACTTTCATATAAGTTAGGAAATGGGAAAGTTTGCTTTGATTTCATGCAGCCCATGTTACGAACAGCTGTTTGTGGGGGAAGCAGTGGCAAAGTCTACTTCCAGGCCATCTTTAGAAAACAATGAAGTTTGTCCATGTGACGTTGACCAGTGCTTTCCCTCTCCAGGCCACTTTCAGTAATCAGCGTTCCCTTTCACCACTCTTCACGTGTAGTGTTTACCTGTCAAGAGAAGGGAGGTTTCATTTTGAAGTTACAGAATGCAAAAGAGTGTATGATTGAGTGACGTGTAAAAATCTTTTCATCACTTTGGTCACATAGAAGAAATGTGAGGTAAAAACAAACAGCTTTATCTTACCATTAGAAGAAAAAGATAATCACCCAATAAAAATGGCAATTTGCAAAATAGGAAAACTTTTTTTTTCAGGATCTTGCAAATTTTTAAAAACTGAAAACAGTTAAACTTTTGCTAGCTTAGATTTATCTATAAGGGTAAGCAAACCATAGATCTTGGGCCGAATTCCAGCCATCTATTTTTGTACAGCCGTGGTCCCTTCTTTACATGTGCCCATGTTCTGCTGCATACATACTACAATAGCAGAACTGAATAGTTGTGACAGATCATGTGGCCCACAAAGCTTAAAATATTTACTGTCTGACCCTTTACAGAAAACATTTGCTGAATCCTGATCTGTACTGTCAAGCAAAACAAGCACATAAAAATTTGTTCCTCCCCAAACCTCATGAGCCTACAGACCTTGCACTACTATTAGATTCTGGCGTTATCCCCTGGTTAGATATTTACAACTCAAAGAGTAGTAAACAATGTTTGCTTTACTCTAGTGCTGCTTCTAAACAACAGTGCAGGTTAGACATAGCAAAGCCACCCATTTTTCCTTCTGACTGTTCCCTGTGAAATTGTACAAAAGCTCAGACTAAGGTTAAAGAGTTTTCCTCCTAAATTTCTCATTCCTACCCTGGTTTGATGTTTGGACAGTAGAGGACGACAATGCTTGTGATGTCCCTTCTAAGCTTCCCAAGTGAGTATTATCACTGAATGAACTTCTCTTTAGGGGCTTAAGGATAGCTAAAACAATACAAGACAGCTTCATTTTAAAGAGGACTAGCTGTAAGAGAGCACAGGTAATCTCTATGAATGATGTTAATGGTTCCTGATGGTATCTTAGTTTTTGTACTAAAAACATAGCTCTGAAAATTCATAAAATAAAATTTGTTTCTGAAAACACTGATTTTTTTTTTTTTAAACAGGGTTTTACTCTGTTACCCAGGCTGGAGTAAAGGATGCAATAATGGCTTACTGCAGCCTGGACCCCCTGGGTTCAGATGATCCTTCCACCTCAGCCTACTGGATAGCTGGCCTGCAGGCACAAGCCACCATGCCCAGCTAATTTTTTGTAGAAACAGGATTTTACCATGTTGCCCAGGCTCTTCTTGAACTCCTAGGGTCAAGTGATCTGCCCACCTCAGCCTCCCGAAGTGCTTGGATTACAGGTATGAGCCACTGCGTTTGGCCTGAAACCACTGATCTTAAGGCAGAAGCTTGCATGCATCTAAATCATTTTTAAATAGTTGGTAATTAAAGATGTCCAGAGGAGTTGATGTTTGCCAGGTCTACTGCCATATATTATTCTATAAATTCTACCCAGTTTCTCTCATACTACTACTTCTCTTCCTACCCCTAAAAAACGTGATACGAGGGGTAGGAAAGGAAAGCCAGTCTTCTGCTTTTAATTACCTTTAGTTCCGTAGGCCCTGCTTCTTGCTCCAGGTTTCAGAGATGTTAATTTTAAAAAGGAAACAGATATATGTAGTGTCTGTCTTGCTTACTAGTCTGAACTGAAGATGGGGACTGTCTTGGCTGTGCATCATCAGCATGTTAGGATTTTTCATAGTGTCTGTTTTTTACTGTGAAGGGTGGTTAAGGGAATTGGACATGGTTAACCTGAAAAAAATTACTTTGAGAACCCAATGAGTGTCAATAAAAGGCTGTGAGTGGAACCATCAGAATATTCTGTGTTTTAAGATCTTTTGTTTTGCAAAAGCAGCTTTTTCTTACCCTAACAAAGGAACTAGTGCCAGATTTGTGCATTCACCAAAACCAATTTTAAAACAGGACAAAATATATATTGGCATGTATTTTCAGGCACAGAGCAACAAGGAGCACTGGATTGTGATCTCTGAGAGAAGAAAAACACAAGATGTTAAATTCCACAGTTGGTCATTGTGGGATTCTACCTGGGGGTATCTTCCAGCATTACCATGGGAGGCTGAGCCCCAGGAGAGTCAGAGAGTGGCAACTCTTATGGAACAGAGGTTTGGGTTACTGAAACAGCTGAAATTTATAAGATAGAGTTCAAGATTGGGAAGGGAGGCAGAAATTTGCATGGGACTTGTCAAGGGTACTGGGATGTGCATCTCCAGGATAAGGATCTGCAAGATCTCAGCAAAAGATTACTTGCTCTAGGACTTAAGAGGTGGACAGTGACACCAGACATTATATACAGTATGTAGAATCCTTGGAATTGCAGCCTGAGTGGAGCAATCTCATTTAGTTACAACTCAAGAAATGTGATGCCTTAGGAATCAGTAGCATACTCTAAACAGGGATTGACAAGTGTTTTCTTAAAGGGCTATGACTTAGGCTTGTGAGCCAGGATGTTTGTGGCTTCTCCAGATTCATATATTGAAACCTAATCTCCAAAGTGATGGTATTTGGAGGTGGGGCCTTTGGGAGATAGTATTACAGTATTAGTTCCCTTATAAAAGAGACCCAAGCAAGTTCCCTTGCCCCTACTGACATGTGGGGACACAGTGAAAAGCTATGAACCATAAAGCAGCCTTTCACAAGACACCATATATGCTCCTGCCTTAAACTTGGACTTCCCAGCCTCCAGAACCATGAGAAATAAATTTATGGTATTTATAAACATCCAATCTTATGCTAGTCTCTTTTTGTTATACCATCCTGAATGGACTAAGACACATAGATAGGGTCTATGTCACAACTACTCAGCTCTACTATTATAGCACAAAAGAAGCCAGAAAATATATTAAGATTAAACAAATGGGCATGGCTATATCCAATAAAATTTTGTTTACAAAAATAATAGGCAGCCAGCCTATGGACCACATTTGACAAAGTTCAAACAGAAGCAGTTTCCTTTAACAAATAAAACAATACCATTTAAAAGAAGATAACATAAGCCAGACTCCTTACAAGGTATTATTCACAATGCTTACCATTCAATTTAAAAATTAATAGCCATACAAAAAAGCAGGAAAATTTGACCCAAAATCAAGAAAGAAAAAAAACCCAAAATAACCCAGAATTTCTTAATTGAAATAATAGAACTTTAAAGTAGCTATTTAAGTATACTCAAGAACATAAAGGAAAAAACTGGTGTGCAAAAAGACACTCCCAGAGAAATGGAAATTGTAAAATAATAAAGATGGAAAACCAGTAACTAAAATGTATAAGATGTGAAATGAAAAATTCATTGTGTGGACTATTGAATGTTGCAAAAGACAGGATTAGTGAACTTGAAAAATCTATAGATATATCCAATCTGAAAAATAGAGGGAAAAGATTTTAAAAATTGAGTAACCACTAAATAGAATGGAAGTATGACTTATAAGCTATAAGAAATTAGATACATTTAAGCCAGAAGGAGAGAGGAAAGAAAGAACATTGGGGATGGGGAGGGACAATTAGAAAACCAACAGCAAGGTGACTGCC